CCGCTTGCGAATAACTTACAAAGATAACAATTTTCACATGGGAATTCATCGCTTATGAATAGTTGTGCATACTCAGTTTTTTTTTGTTGTGGGCTGATTTTACTCGATTTTGTAACCACATGACAATTTATAATGAGAATATTTTTATTATGAATTTTACTTTTAAATATGTTTTTATGTGAAAATATAAAAATATACAATGTAGAATATTTTTGTATGGGTATACAGTTTGATTTAGATACTTTCAACGATTGTTTCTTTACTTTTAGAGAAAACTTTTGAAGTCTGATGACGGGTCAATTGAAATAATTGAATTACATTGATGACTATAGCGTTACATCCTATAAGTAGTAGCATTCCAGTCATTGAGATTTCTACAATAAAAATAAGTCCGAGGATGATTATAACTGTAGTACCAAGAGTGATTATAATCAGTAGACAAAGACCCCACCATTTGCGCGATAGACAACAGGAATACTTGAATACACTGCACAGAAGCGAGTAGACACTAGCACAAATACCCAATTGATTGAGTATTTCCGTAGAATCTAAATTATTATAGACCCAAATAAAACAGACAATATTTGACGATGTCACATTTGATACTGTTTGACCAGGTTCACAAATTAATCGTTCATTTGAATAAATGTTCGATATAGAAAAACAATCGCTTTTCTGTCGCGGACAATCATCTTTTTGCGACAAGATTTGTGCTTGCATGATCCATCCATTAATCAATAAGAAAATATTAATCCATCCGATAGCTGTCACTTGACAAATAAGAGATACCCGAAAACGTCTTGATGTTAAATAATCTATTTGAATACCATAAAAATTCATTATCCATGTTGTTTTATCGATTCGAACAATATCAAATAATTTTTCAATCACTTTCACCATCAATCGATTTGGTAATAATAGGAATTGAATTAATTTTATGAAATAAATTCCAAATGCTGCTCCATACATAATAGCCCTATATGTGTTGAATTCCATTGTTATTGTTTGATCGTTGTCTGAAACAAAAAAAAATGAACAAGTATATCATATTGATTTAGTATGTTCGTGTATGTCATCACGATAGGATGTTTAATACTGTCATCTTTTTCTAATGCAAACAATGCGATAGAGCATAACCGAGAAAGCAGCCTTCAGGTTTCAGTGCTCAGTTACCTATATCGATCTAAATACAATATCTTACCGAATTGAATTGTTTTTACATAATTCGAGAAGACTGAATTAGATCGATAGGTTTTATCGACTAGCTTTCGATAATTATCATATTTGAGAGGATTAGAATCTATTAAAGATGCAAATGATCAATGAAAATGCAATAACACAACGACCATTAATCCATTTTATACAAGAGATTAATAAAATGAATAAATACAATGTAATTATAGGTAATAGTACTCAGAAAAACTGGTGCAAAAAAGACATATGTACTGCATTGCTCTCGAACAAAAAGAAATTACGTACACTGAAAAAATATTGATCTATTTGATTCAATAATAATATATGTTCCAAGACTGGATTAGTTAGTATTGTGATTATTTCTTTCTATTCACTACGACATGAACTGGAAGTGCTATTTTATATATTCACATCTTACGTATATTGAGATGTGAAAACGTATCAAAATTGCGCGTTTTAAGAGAGTAAAGTTTTTGAAACGATTTCCATACTAGTAACCAGGATGTCAGAAAAAAAATAACGCAATTGTCTGTATCGACTTTTTCTAACCTTCATTTCATTTGATTCATTGGATTTGTCATTTAATTTTCTATCAATCATAGAGAAAGTACCATGTTGTTACTCTGGGCATCGATGAACGTTGTATTTATTTGACAGTTGTCATTTGCATAATAATAAGAACAACACCCCAGATGTAGTTTCGACTTCCCATCTAGGCTGTTGGATAAACAACAGAACATTTTTGATTCAAATCTGCACACAGTTGATAAATTTCTCATCATAATGAAATTCTCGTGACGGCTTCAATTTGGCTTTTAGAATCAAAGTTTTGCAAAGGAGAAATAAGAGTTTTAATCAACATTGAAATTCTTAATCGAATCAAATTGGGATTTGAATCTATTATGTTGATCAAACTTTGTTTAAGATCGCTGAATGATTAGCTGCTAGGACAAATACTTGTGTCCTGCTATTTGTATTGTCTCTGTTACACGCGGAAACTAATAACACTTCTAATAAATATCGTTCAGTACGGGTAACAACTAGCGTTTGGTTCTAATGGATTAAAGAGCAAAATACTTGAGCATCACATTGTTTTTTCTTCGAGTTTTGAAATTGAACAAGGCAAAAGTATAAGGGACGGGGACGTATAAATGTTACCCATTCTTTAGGGACGCGGGTTTCGCCACTGATCTACATTTATCGAGAACTATGTGTACTCCAATTTTCAGCTCAATAGCTTGCATAGTAGCTGAGATCCAAGGGGGGGGGGGGGGGGGGGATACTTTTGACGACCTGTGTAAATTATACATATTTTCACGTCTTCATAAAACAATTTATTCTGTTCTGATTGTTGTTTACAGATGGTATAAACATATCATCTCTTTTTCTTTCTCGCTTCACTCGCACTTTAAAACAAAACAGAATACACAGAAATCAAACAATTTAAATGAACAGCAACGGTTTTAGAACAATAACTGAAGGTTCCGTCATTATTTCGATGAGCGATCATTTTAGTTTACAATAACAGCTTGATAAATTATTACAAGCTACTCCATTGAACAAGAAGTAGACAAAGATTCAACTGAAAATAACCTCAAAAAATAAAAACGTATCAGTTATAAACACTAAAAGAAAGTAGCTATTCACAACAACAGAAATATCTGAACCGAACAAAAGAAAAAAATAAACGAAACGATAAAATTCAACAAACCGAAAACAGAAAGAAAATAAAAAACAACAAGAATGGTCAAACTGCATCTAATATTACAATCGATGAGTCCACCATTTCTTCCGATTTATCAACAGATTAAAAACAATTAATTTGATAAATATACCACTTTTCCTTCAGACAACTCGAATGATAATGACAATGATCCAATATATATTGAACCACCAACAACTACTACAGTAACTCAAAATGCCGAATCGTTATCAATAGAGAAAAATATTTTCAACTTACCGAAAATACCACGCATTCAAAAATCATTCACTATAGCTACACAAACAGAGAACACAAATAATACACCTGTTCCTGATACACCAACTGAAGATGAACAGCACTGAAGCAAATATAAATCAATTTATCGTCACTATTCTCAAAGTCGAAAGTTAATTGATAACAGATCGTTCGATAACATGGTCGACTGAATCTTGAACATCGATACCCATCACTCACGATATATTCTTAGTGAACAAGAAACTCGTGAGGATTACACGTGTCGAGTACTAGACTCGTACATATATGAGGGTTATAGAAAAGCTTGTGAAGCGTTTCGAAACGAATTCATAAAATGATCCATATGCACTTCAACATAAGAACATTTAATAAGAAATAAATAATTCAGCTTTCGTCAAATTAATTATTTCTGATTCATTAATTTAAACAGCCTTCAGATAGAATAATGAACAAAGACTATAGATTTATAACGGCCAATGTATTAATACAACTTTCACGAAAGTTCACAATTATAGAAAATCAAGTTATCAGTTACTGATCATGTATCCAGTCAATCGTAATAATTATAACACTATTAGATCCAGCCGAATAGATGTCATAGTTGATGTGTTGCTACACTTTTGCCTGAACCTAAACACAATTCATAATTAATGAGGAACATAGTGCAGAGAACCGGTCATACGGGATAATTTGCTTGCTGACAGATGTTCCTGACCATATTCTTTTTTATTCATTAATAATTTACAATAAATTAGTCGACATATTTCGCCATGTCTATAGCATTATCAGGACAAAAGAATATTGACAGAAAATTGATAACATATATAGTTAGAGAGAAAAGAAAAAAAATGACATCATATTCAAGAACATTCCTGTGAATTCGACAAATCGAAAACACTAGAATACCTCCACTTCTAATGCATATTGTTATGTACTGATCAGTACATAACAATATCCCCTTCCCCATGACCATTAATTCATTTTATTTTGACTTTAGGTTTGGTTGGTTGTATACCTTCAGAATATACAACCAATGAAACAGATGACAGGGTTCTATTTTACCTTCATTTGATACATTCATTTGTATAACCAACATTTCTTATTTTGGGTGTGGACAAGTGGACGATTCGTCGCTACTTTTCATTCCGAACATCCATTTTTCTTCAAAAAATCATCACTTTTAAGATAAAAATATCGGATGTTCATAATTAGAAAAATACGGATGGTCGGAGTGATCATCAAAAAAAAACCGGATGTTCGTAAAAATTTTTAACGGGTGTTCGGAACAGCGAAGACACGCACATTTCTATGTGAGAAACTGGATAACTTTAACGGGTGTTTGTAAAAGAGACTACCGGGAGTTCGGAACAGCAATAGATGGCTGACCTATCTACTTATTTTGCCTTTTTATTATCAGAAATAAACGAGTTTTTGAACAAAGAACAATATTCACATACAGAAAGTCGAACTCTTAAAAAAACCAATGGCATAGAGATAGAGAGACATTTCAATAATAAAAAAATAACAAAAAAAAAACAGTAAATTTCTATTAGTTGTTCTTCTTCTTCGCCAGACACAAACAAGCGAAGATGGACTGTTTTAGCGGAAGATATTTAGAAAAAAAGGGAATAAACTTTTCAACTAAACATCACAAAACTATGAATAGTTAATAAGAGTGAACAGTTACCGTTGCACTTTACTATTCCCTTTTTTGCTGTTATCCTTGTTGCTTTTATCTTTGCTGTGCCGGCTGCTGCATCTCTTTTTGATTTTTTTGGAGATCAAGAGTGAAGGATAGTAAAAGAGAATGAATTTTTTTTCTTCTGATCATTATCACGCAACGCCATCAAGAGAATTAAGGATGTCATACTTCATGAACGAAGCCAATTGTTTCTCTACAGCTCTATATCTAAGTCTGTTTTGAACACCAGTTATGTTGTCCTAGACATTCTTATGTCTGAAAGTGTTCATTCATTTACAATAAAGATAAATATTTATGAGAAAACTCTTCGCTATTTTATCATAATATTCAAAAGATGTCGATTGTGAAAAAGTTCAACAAAAAATCATAGTTAAACAAAAATATGATTACAACCATTATTATTTGTATTACAAATAAAAAATTTCTCGTGAATCAAGAAGTATGAGTCAATCCGGACAGGAAAAACTGGAAACCAGTGACACTTAAAAGCAGTATTCAGAATCGAGAAGCCTCGAGAACATTGTATTTGACTTCCGATCAACTTCCTCTTCTTTCCGAGAGAAAAGAAATAGTGAATCATTGAGAAAAAATCTGGAGACTCTCGCGTTCTGAATAATGCTTCTATTTTGCATCGATTCTGTCTGGTTCAGGTAAAATCCGATTAATTTTGATGCCAGAAATGAACAATTTCAGATTGATTTCTTTATTTTTATATATAAAATTCACTCATATTTGAAAGATTTAACATTTTCTTTGCTTGATCTGTTTTGTTCTTTAATATTTTTTTTTCATTTAGTGTAGGAAATATTTTATAGAATTTGTATAAAGAAACACCAATATATAAATAAAAACCATGGTCTCTACAAACGTTGTAAAAGAAAAAATTTTCGAATATAATTTTTGCTTTGTAAATTCTGACTTAATGTTAATGGAGATCAATGGTGAAAGATGATAAAATCATTATCGATTACAATCATTGTAAAAGAACGCAAAAGGACAATTATCTTAATCTGAACTCTAATTTTATATTTATCTTTCAGTACAATTCGATCTTGTGACTATACCAGTTATCGTCCATGACAAGAGAACGATAAGACAAAAGTAATATGATAAGTGCACATCTATATGCCCTAATTTAAAACAGTCTTTATATATACTATACGAAGAACAAAAAAAATACTCGATAGTCACGTCATTTTGTCATTGTTAAATAGTTTTTAAAATGCAATTGTATAATGTCAGTATCTATTTCACATAAATTTTTTCATTATAGTGGTCTATTTCTTTTCTTATATTGGTATTATTTTTGACTAATTCTCACTGCTGTTAAATAAATTTCATAGGCATTCTTAAGTGGCTCATACACTTATCATGTTATTCCATTAAGTATGGCAACATATGTGTATATGTTCGACAGTTACTATTCAATAGTGCTGAAAGAAGTAACTGCACAATGTTAGTATCTATTCAACGTAAATTCGGTCATTTTGGTTGTGTCAGTCTCTACATAAATTTCTAAGACTAAACTAGCTGTCATTATTCATGAGCATAGGGTCCGGGAGAGACATCAAATTTCTACATCTAACCTTCAACACTCCTTTGAGATCGTGTTTCATAAATGTAAAAAACAGTTCTTTTTGTTAAGAAACATAGTAAAAAAAAAAGACAGCAAAGTGACTAACAAACAACTGCATTCGTTACAAAACGATCAAACTCACTTTTGTCTTAATGGAATTTTTACAGTAAATAAAAGAAAAGATTTGTTTTTTTATATCTCTTATCATCTCTCCTTATTGTTTACAATATTCAGTTAAGAATAAAAAAAAAGAACTATAGCCTTGACATAACCATTAAAGTATGAGTAGTAAATAAATATACAAAGAATTCTCATTTCTTTCTAAAACAAAATACATTTCTGTTTTTTTATCAATAAATGTTTACTTTTTGTCTGCAAAACGAATTCTAGTTATCAAAAAAATTGCATTCAATAAAGACTTTTCTATAATCTTTATTACATTTAATCTATGCTAAATTATTAAAAACTATGGATGATTGTGCTCATGTGTCTGCCAGAAACAAAAAAAAAGTCCTGTTTTATTATATGTTGACAAAATTCAAAACTCATAAGCATCTCATCGAAGTGATTTTCTTGCACATACGTAATTTCCAGATCACATGGAAACTTTATGATCCAACTAGTTTAATAAAAAAAATTTATTGGATTTTTATAGGTCTTACTGGTTGTATCAAATCAAAAAAGTATTTTTTTTTCCATCAAATCATATTTTATTGGTTTGAAAAACAAGATTCTGTAAAACAATGAGTCACGAATGCCATAGTAATAAAGAAAAAAAAATAAAGAAAGAGCAAAGCTAACGTTTTTTTTTGTTTCATACTTGGTAATTTCCAATAAACTTTTTCCCAGTCGATGGAATATAAAAGGTCGACAGAAATGTTGTACCGATATCAAATTTATTAAGCATTAAAAGAATTTTAACCAAGTTAATTCAATTTATTGAAACTCGAACGTCTACAATTCTGTCAAGAATTTTCATATCAAACTCAATTACAACTGAAATTTTCGGTCATATAATTATCCAAGTTTATCAACTGGTATTTTTTCACAGTAAGACTATGGTTAAGATTTTTATTTGAATAATAGATTTAATAGACTTTATCAAAGTTGAGTTAAATTCTAAATGAATATTTCCTAATTTAAATCTTATTATTTCTTCAAATATTTTAAATTGAATTTCAAATAAAATATTCATTTTTAATTTGAAAATGAATTCTTTTTTTTTTTTTCAAGAGTAAATCCATATACAAAATGCACGTAGGTTGATCAAACTTTTTTCTTTTGAAATATTTCATAGTTATACCAATTGGATATATAGGTTCAATATATAATCATTTAGTTTTCGATTATCAAACGGAGTTTAGAAAGAAATTTGATAAATATCTCTTCGTAATAGAAGCCCCATTTAAAGGGTCTCTCCCGCAAAACTTCCAGTTTTTCCCAGCAACATCTGGCCAACGTTTGCAAGGCCAAATAGAACTCCCGGGAGCTTCTAATATGGGACGGGGGTTTAAGTAAATATCAAATATACCTTCTTCGTTGATTAAAAATGTTGGATTGTCAACAAAACTCAAAGTTTGATACGTTACGATTTACAACTGTCGATCGAAGCTTGTTGGAAAAAAAACAAATTTGAATTCTTAGCTATTTGTTTTTTACACAGATGAAAAGGAATAGAATCAAACATTCGTATTATTTGTTGGCATTGAAACTCATTTAAAATAAACAAATTTATATATTGAATAACAATCATAACCTATAAATAAGATTTTTTGAAATATAAATTTAATAGTTTGTTTTATATATCTATATTAAATAATTATATTTAT